GCTTTCTTCAGAATAGCAAGGAGTTGGAAACAACCTAAGTGCCCATCAATAAACGAATGGATAGAGAAGCGGTGGTATATTCATACAATGGAATACTATGCTGCATTGAAAAACAAGGAACTCATGCAATATTATTCAAAATGGGTGACCCTGGCGGACATTATGCTGAGTGAAGTATCTCAGTCATAAAAGGACAAATACTGCAGGGTGCCACTGGTAAAACAGGACTGACCTTGGGGTTGGGGGGAGACTGAGAAAGATGGGTTCAATAATGTATACTGCATTGAAACAGATGAGGGAGAAATGTGATTAGGTATTTTTGTCATGACAGGAGTCCAGAGTGAAGGCTGCATAGTGGAGTGGACCTGGGGGGAGGGTTTTTTAAACAATGAAATAATTTTCCTTTTACTATTCCAAGAGGGTAGTGCACTAAGGGGAAGGGTTGGGAGGGGAGAAAAGTGCAATAATGAATGAATGGAAATCCAAAGTCTCTGTAAATTTTCATTGAACTTAATAATAAATTAAAACAAAACAAAACAAAACCCAAACTATTTTCCCAAGACGATTTTTAGTGTATATATAGATGTTGATGTCAAGCAATAAAGTAAACTTCTGTGGCTCTGAAGAACTAGAACTGTGTTATCTACTATTTTTAGGTGATTATTTAAATAAAAATCAATTCTTCAATCACACTGGATTCTTTTCAAGTGCTCAACAGTGGCTAGTGGCTACTAGAGTTGACAGCACAAGTGACAAGATGTTTCCATTACTGGAGGAAGATATAGTCTAAAATTTATAGACAACTTCAACAACAAAAAGATGAACGAGCGTATTTAAAACTAGGCAAAAGACAGTTCACCAGAGAAGACATTCAGGCAGCCAAGAAATATAAGAAATCATCAGCCATTGGAGACACAAATCAAATAACAATGAGATAGCATCTTACCCTGCAATAATAGTGATTATAAAAAACCAAGACATATGCTAATGAGGTTGTGGAAGGCTGGAACTCTTACACACTGCTGATGGGGCTTTAAGTTGGTTCAACTACGTGGAAAACAGTATGGTGCTAAAATAGACACCATAGTCTTGTGCTGATCGATTCTGTCAGGTTTCTGAGGCTATAAATCGTAATGGGAGGGAGGATCTTTCTCCTGTGAAAGAGCTGGTGGGTTCAAACCACCCATATCTTGGTCAGCAGTGAAACATGTAACACTCTACTCCACCAGGCCTTTTTGTTGTTGTTAGGTGCCTGACTCACAGAAATCCTATGAACAATAGCTCTGAACCCTGCCCCAGACTGTGCCATCCTCATCATCTCTGATATATGTATATACATGGGCCCACTGCTGCAGTCACTGTGGTAATCCATCTTGTTTAAGGTCTTCTTCTTTTGCTGACCCTTCTCCCTTCCAAGCATGACGTCCTCTTCCGAGGATCGGCTCCTCCTAACAACAGGCCCACTTGTCTCCAAGAAGCAACTCTGACTGCATTTTTTTCCAAGATATAATTGGTTTTTTGGCCATCATGGGGTATTCAGTACTCTTCTCTATCACAACTCAAAGGCACTGATTATTCTTCTGTCATCCTTAGTTATCGTCCAAATTTCAGGAGCACAGGAAGGAACTGAAAAAAAAATCATGGCTTGAACCAGGTGCACTTTAGTCTTTAAATTGACATCACTGTTCTTTATCACCTTGGAGAGATCCTTGACAGATTTTCCCCCAATGCAACACATCTTTTTATTTCTTGACTCCTGGTACCAATGGTGCTAGCAGATTGTGGATCCAAGCAAGATGAAACAGTTGACAACTTCAAGTTTTTCTCTGTCTACCATGATACTGCTTTCTGGCTCAGTGGTGAGAATTTTTATCTTATTGATGTTGAGAGGTAATCTACATCGAAGGTTCTCATCTTTATCTTTTGTGGCAAGTACCTCAGGTCCTCCTCACTTTCAGCAAGCAAGGTTGTGTCATCTGCATAATGCAGTCTGTAGCTGACTCTTTCTCCAGTCCTTTCTTCTTCCTTCTAAGGTCCAGCTTCTCAAATGATTTGCTCGGCATAGAGACTGAACAGCAATGTAGAAAGAACTCACACCTTTCTTGATTTTAAACCACAGTGTTTCCTTGCTCTGTTCACACAACAGCTTCTTAGTCTACATATAGGTTTTGTATGAACAAAATTAAGAGTCCTAGGATTCCCATTCTTCTCAATGTTAGCCACAATTTGTTATGACCCACATGGTCAAATTCCTTAAATAGTCAATATAACAAAACCAGACATGTTTCTGGTATTCTCTGCTTTCAGCTAGGATCCATCCATCTAACATCAGCAATGGAAACTCTGGTGCCACAGCCTCTTCTAAATCTAGCTTGAATTTCTGATAGTTGTCTGTCTATGTACTTGTCCTAGCTATTTTTAAATAATCTTCAGCAAGATTTTATTTGCATGTGGTATTAGTGATACTATTCAATAATTTATACAGCCTGTAGGATCACCTTTTTTTGTGTGTGTGAGAAAAATTTGTGTTTAGAATTAGCCAGCTGGACTCCATTCAGATGGTCCCAATTTTGTTGGCAACATCCAAACCATCATAGTCAGGAGCAAGAAGAACACAGGCCTTCTTCTCTCCATTAGGCCTAATCAAGGCATTGACCTTGTCAAAGAGCTTCTTTACAGATTGTTTAATTTGGTGCTTGTTGGCCTTGACATCCACAATGAACACAAGTGTGTTCTTATCTTCTATCTTCTTCATGGCTGACTCAGTGGTCAGGGAAAATTTGATGATGACATAATGGTCAAGCTTGTTTCTCCTAGGGGTGCTCTTCCAGGGGTATTTGGGCTGCCTTCGGAGTCTCTGCATCTTAGGCTGCCGGAAGGTGAGTGACATGTGGATTTTCTTTTTCTCTTGGCTGTGGATGCCCTTCAGGACTGCCTGCTTGGCCTTTAATGCCTTTGCTTTGGCTTCAGTTTTGGGAGGGGTAGGGGCTTCCTTCTTCGCTTTTGGCGCCATCTTTGTAGAAAAGTAGGATCATCTTTTTTGGGAACGGAAACAAATCTGGATATTTTCCAATAAGTAGCCAGGTAGCCACCTTCCAAATTTCTTGACATAGACTTGTGAGCATGTCCAAGTCTATAGATGTTTGCGGAAACATGTCAATTGATATCCCAACAATTTTGCAAAGGCCTTCAGTACTGCTTGAACCTTCTCCTTCATCACCACTGATTCCTGATCATATACCACTTCCTGAAATGATTCTATATTAGCCAACTTTTTTTGGTCCAGTGACTCTAAAGATGGTCCAGTGACTCTGAATTCCTTCCATCTTCTTTTGATGCTTCCTTAGGAGATACCATATGATCTAGCAATCCCACTACTGAGAGTATGTATGTGTATCTTAAAAGAACTGTGACACGAACAGTTATGTGAACATTTCTTTACATTCAACACAGCATTATTCACAACAGCATGATGAAAACCACCTAAATGCCCATCAACAGATGAGTGTGTATACACACACACACACTCTGGAATAGACATACAACAGAATATTACATACTCATATTAGAGAATAATGATAAATCTGCAAACATCTCACAACATGAATAAACCTAGAGGACATTATGCTGAGTGAGACCATCAATAACAAAAGTGATTCAGTCATTGTTTCAGTTAAACAACAGACAGAGACCTATACACTGCTCAGTAACCCCTAAGAAGAATCATCCAAGACCAAAAATGGTCGCACTTGCCTAAAGACAGTTAAGGCAGGAAGGACTGGAAAGATGAGTAAACAGAAATGAAGAACCCGGGAAAGAAGTATGAAAAGTCAGTTACACTGAGGGGATTGCATTTCATATCAGAAAACATTATTTTTAGAATAGGAAATGAATTTACTGTATAAATTTTCGCTCAGATCACAATAAAAAGCTCAAAAAGAAAGGGCAGAGATTGGAAAGGCATTACCTAACAGGATGATGGATCAGCACAATATCATTAAAGAAAAGGAATACATAGGACTAGTGGAAATCAGAACTGTAAGGCGGAAGTGGGAAAAGTGTGATCACTTTGAGGGCATGGAAATTGTTACAGAATAGAATATGTATGAATATCTGAAATAAAAATTAATTTGCTTTGTAAATTCCACTCAAATCATAATGAAAAATTTTAAAAAGTATACTGATTAAAAAAAATTACAAAAAAAAGGGACATGAAGTGTGCTCAAAATTGCTTTTTACACTTAACATTATGAAAATATTTCTCTTTCACTCTTGAATACTATTCCATACTTACTGAGCAGGTATCATGTGCCAAGTAATGTTCTAGGCAACACAAGTAAAATTCACTTTGACCTCCTATTTCTTTACAAATGAGTATTTGCTTTCAAACTTACGTTTTTCTATTAGACGCCATTCCAGTAAAACAAAAGTGTGATAGAACAGCTGTGCTTAATAGAAAGATGTTTTATGATTTGTGACAGATATTAATATATGCAAACAGAGATGCTAAAAAACTGGCTTTTCAAGTAAGCCAAAAAACAGGAATATAAATGTATGTGAATGGGCGAGCTCTGGTGGCCTAGTGGCAGGAAACTACACTGCAATCCCAGAGGTGCGCGGTTTAAATCCACCAGATGCTCTGCTGAAGAAGGAGGGACAATCGCCTCCTGTACCAGTCAGATCCAATTTGACGGTACAAACATAAAAAAAAAAAAAAAAAAGTATGTTGAATAAGTCCAGTTTTTCTTTTTTAATTAATCTGTTTTTGTTCTGGTTCTTTAACTATTTTGATTCAACAAAATGCAAAAATGCCAGAATTTAGGTTCTGAAACATGTAAGACCTGCATAGTCCAACAGATTAAATAAGGAAAATGAAACATAGTCCAGTTTCTGGAATGTTGTCAAATAACAGAAAGCTATAAAGAACAATCAAAGGAAAGTTACCAGAGATTGGGCCTGACTTTCCTAACTGTAGTAAAACTTTTTCTCCTAAAAGCGTATTTGAAAAGACAATTTCTGTAGACTGGAATTCCCCTGGGAAAAAAATGGAAATAAAGGACAAAAAGAAGCCACAGCCCCTAGGATATTCAGTAAAGGAACAATATATAAATCATATTACAATGTTGGGCAGGCCACTTAATTACTTCCATATGTGAGGAGGCAAAGATGCACTTTCCCCCTGACCACAGTGTAAAAGGCATAACTGATTGCAAAACCCACCAAAATATAATCTTTCCTCTTAATCACTGTATTCCTCATTTCCCAAAGAACTTCTCTACTTTCCTTCACGTTTTGGAGACTGCACAGAATCTAACCCAAAAACTCACACTTCAAGAAACCACTGGTACCTGAAACATGGCGACTTACCAGTTCCAATGGACAAGCCACTGCTATTGGAACGGATGGTCTTGGAATTCAATACTTTCTCTGAGGAGAAAAAAAAAAACACACAAAACCCAACCCCAACATTTAATTAATAAAGATACTTTGTTATTTGGTGTGCTGTATAAACAGAAAGGCAGGAGAACTGAGAAGACTAGCACAGGGAGAGAATCTGAGAAATAACTGCTATTGCAGGGAATTTGTAATTATCAATTACAGTTTTTTGTATTTTTGGTTTTTTGAGTTACAGTTTTATAAATTAACATCATAGGCTAAGTACCACTTGCTACTCAAACTCTATTTACAAAGCAGCCAGTTTTCGCCTTAGCTGTTAACTGGAATCACCTCAGAAATTTTAAAAAGTAACAATTCTAGGTCTCACTCTAGAGATTCTGATTTAATGGGTCGGGGGCTGCTTAGTAGGATTTTTGAAAACTCCCCAGGAGAATCTAATGTACAGCCAAATTTGAGAAAGACTTATTTAAAAGAATGAGTTTGTAAACTCTTACAGGCCTTTATCATTTGTTTAAAACAAAGTAAACTTTATGTAGCAAACATTTATGACATGAAGTATCTTTTTTTTAAATGAAGTATCTTTTTAAATTTTTTTTTAAAATTTTTTGTGTGTACCCTTAAATTGGATCTGACTTGTACAGGAGGAGACTGCCCCCTCCTTCTCCAGCAGAGCATCTGGTAGATTCAAACAGGGAAGTATCTTTTTAAAGTTCTACTGAGTTTATCAGATTAGTGAACAATGAGATGCTACAAATACTATGGAAAGTAAACCAGAGCTCAAAGTTACCATGTCGGTCAATAGGAAGCAAATAATGGTCAAGAGGAAATAACAATGTTCAGTTCTTACCACTAAGTATGGCTTTGCTGACAATGACAAGATTTCAGTCTCTTTTCTTCAAGACATGTCTACATCTAAGAATGTGAGCACAGATACCTTGGGTATGAGTCTATCCTCTGTGAAAGTTACCCAGCCCCACACATACAAAATCCTTACCAACAATGAGAATGGTGTGCCAACCCCGACAAGAGAGGTCTGGAACATGATGCAGAGATCCAAAAATGGGCCGAGGCCATGAGGTACAGATATCAGAGCCATGCGGTCTCTCAGTGGGGGTCATTGCCAAGCGGCCATTACCACCATTGCCCCAGGCAAAAATGTGATTATCTAGGGGGAAAATGAAGCAGCAGATAATTTTCTTTTCTCTTTCCCCTTTCCCTCTTTATTTGATCAGTAATTTATGTATCAAACTGTTAGTTGCAATATAAACAGCAGACAGTTTTAACAAGAGTGATTTCTGGAGCCTTTGTGGTGCCCATATTTACTCCCTAGAACAAGTGAAACTTCCCATTATAAACCGGACAAAGGAAAGCTGCTATTCTACAACACAAAGCCTAAACTCTTGCTGACCCTCCCTGGGGTAACAATGACCATTTGGCCTATTTACTTCATTCATTCATTCATACACGTACTCATTCAACAATTTTTTCCTTAGTTCTTTATTCAACAAATATTTACTGGGCATCTACTTCATGACAGGCACTAGTTGGAGGTGCTGAGACTAAAGAGCAGTGAAGAAAACAAAGTTTCTTGCCCTTGTGGAAATGATATTCTACTAGGGGAGGAAACAACACATGCATAAATAAATAAATAAATATCTACCCATTTAGATAATGACAAGGGCTATGAAGAAAGAGAAATCGTGAGGAAAATAAGTGGTAGGTATAATTACTATAGATCGGGTAGGGCAGAGAGAGTCACCTGTTTGAAGTGAGAGAGCGAGCTCGGTGTCTAAGCAAAAGTGCAAATGTTCTGCACAACTAACATGAACAAGAAGTCCCTGCAGGTGAAGCAAAGCAAGAGGGAGGACAACAGAAGAGGTCAGGGGTGGCTGCGCTCCTTATCATACAGGGTCATGCAGGCCAAGGTTGGGATTTTGGCTGTAGTGGCTGAGACAGGAAACCACAGAGGTTTTGCACAGAAGGTGTTTAAGAGTCTCCCCTAGGCAGCCATGGGGAGAACTGCAGAGGAGCCAAGGTAGACACTGGGAGACCAGCTGAGGCATATGCAATAACCTGGTGAGAGGTAAGGAGCCTAGGACTAGCTGTAGTGATGAAGATGGTAAGAAGTGGTTGGGCATATTCTAAAGATAAGCCACATGATTTGTTAACAGATGGCATGGAGGGGTGTAGGATGAAGCTGTAGGCCTTAGATGGCAAGATCAGAGGTGAAAGAAGTGTGGGCAGAAGTACAGGGCTTGATTTTGTGTATACTGTTTGTTTGAAATACCTATAACTTCCATCAACAGCAGGACATTTTTGTATGATTAAGATGGCAATTATGATTAAGCCATGACAACAGGCATAAATAAGGACTTAATAAATGAGTCTAGAGGTCATGGGTGGTAAAGCCAGAAAGCCGAAGAACAGGATTGCACTCTGGGGCATCCTAAAGCTTGGAGACATTTGCCTCCACTAGACTGTGAGCTCCTTGTGGACAGGAGCTTCCTCTGACTCAACTGAGCACAGTATTCACTCAGTTTTGCCACATGAATGAAAGCTACCAAGTACAGTTCAGAGGAGTGCAAAAACATTCATCAAGAACTAATATGCCATCACGGAACATTCCATTCTGAGGCTTAACTACTGAAGTACAGAGATCTGTTCAAGACACACTACCTATTGGAAGGTCTATCAGAAAGTGCTAAGGAAGACTCATCACACTAACTTTAAACCTCAGCAACACTTTGACTCTGTCCTAGATTTCCTTTTAACTTAGGCTGCTCAACATAACTTGCTCCTTATAGTCTTTTATTAGAGACTAGTAGAGAGGACTAATGTGCCACTCTGAAAGCTGGTTCACTTAATTAAATATGGTAACAGATCACTTATCTGATACTCCTCACATGTGCATTAAGTACAGACTAGATGCTTAAAAAAGATAAATCAGAGCACAGAAAAAACAGAAGCTGAAGTGAGTTGTTGTTGTTGTTGTTATGTGCCGTCGAGTCGCCTACGACCCACAGCGATCCTATGTACAACAGCCCTAAACTCCGCTCTGTCCTGTGCCAATCGCACCGTCTCTGACACTCCCATCCCAATAATCCCAGTGACTGAATCAATCCACCTCATAGAGGGCCTTCCTCTCCTGTGCTGTCCCTCCACCCTCCCAAGCATGATGTCCCTCTCCAAGGACCGGTC